TCCCTGGATGACATTGGATTCTATAGACTCTGAATTGCCTTGAAATGTTAGGGATTGGTGAACTCAAAGGAAGAAAGTTTACGCTGCCTCCACAGTGAAAAGACCTATGGCTACCAGAGGACTTCCGATCTTTGTCCTCTCTTCCTTCTCATCAGAAAGTTATTAGTGCCATTTTTCTCGAGAAGAATGTGCCAAGAGGTTTACATGAAATGATTTCATATCTCCCCAGCAATGCTAACCTGTTTCCCTGAAAATAAGACATGGTCTTATATCAATTTTTGGTCCAAAAAACACATGAGGGCTTATTTTCAGGGGATGTTTTATTCTTTTCATGTACAACAATCTACGTTTATTCATAGACAGTCATGTCATCTTCTTCTGGTTGCTGCACAAGAGTGGAGGGCTTGGTTTCACTCAACTGGGGTTTATTTGGGGGGGTAGGGCTTGTAGCATTCAGCCCTGCCCTCACCTGTCCGTCACAGCTGGGCAGTGGAACATCAGCCAATGAGGGGACGGAAGGTGGTGCAGAAGGGGGAGGAGCTGGAATATAAAAGGGGTGTATGATGAGGGAAAGAGAGAAGAGAGAGATTTTGTGAGAGTGAGTGATGAGTGTGTCTATGCGCCTGTGAGCCAAACAGTCAGTGAGGGAAAAGTCTGTGTGTGTCAGTGAGTGAGAGACCTTGATTAACATTTTGTGATTTACTTACTTTATTTTGTTAAACCAATAAACAAGTTTAAGTTTTGAAGAAACACGTAATTCAGTGATTTATTGGTATTGAAACAGCAATACCTGGTGGCAGCTACCTGAGAAGAAGAAGAGTGAGCACTCCTGGAGGCCTGAGTTGGTAGAGGCTTCAGCGTGCCCGCTACAGGGCTTATATTATGAGCATCCTGAAAAATCATACTAGGGCTTATTTTCAGTATGAATTTCAACAAGGAAAAATGCAAAGCACTGAACCTTGGAAAAAGAAACCAAACATACAGTTGCAAGATGGGGGATTCCTGGCTCAGCAATACTGTGAGTGAGAAGGATGTTGGAGTGATTATGGATCACATGTTGGACATGAGCCAACAGTGTGATCGACCTGCAAAAAAAAAGGCCAACATTATTTTAGGCTGCATTAACAAAATTATAGTCCCCAGATCCTGTGACGCACTACACTCCCGCTATTCAGCACTGGTTAGACCTCATCTCAAGTACTATGTCCAGTTCTGGAAACTGCATTTGAAGAAGGATGCCATCAAACTGGAACAAATGCAGAGGACGGCAACAAGTATGAAAGGCTGAAAGAACTGGGCATGTTTAGCCTTGAGAAAAGAGGTCTGAGGGGAGATATGATAGGACTTTTCAAATACTTGAAAGGTAGTCATACAGAGGAGGGGGAGGATCTGTTCTCAATCATCCCAGACATACAATAATGGGCTCAAGCTGCATGATGCTAGATTTAGGCTGAATATCAGGAGAAACGTCTTAATTTTTAGAGCAGTACAACAATGGAACCCGTTACCTCAGGAGATGGTGAGCGCTCCAATGCTGGAGGCTTTCAAGAAAAAAATGGACTACTATCTGTCAGATCTGCTTTGATTTGGATTCCTGCACTTAGAGCGTTGAATTCAATGGCCTTATAGGACCCTTCCAACTCCATTATTCTTTGATTTTGTGATTGGAGAGTGGCTTGCTCTTCAATGAGCTGTTAATGTAGAAGAGTTTTGAATTTTTGATAAGATTCCTTTTTTGCTATATAGTGAAAGTAGAGAGACCACTGAGGAGAATAGCTACAGGTTCCCCAGAAATTACTGCTTTCCAGTAACTGGCACTTAAGGTCTCAATAACTCACTCTGCGACATTTGTAAGAGAAAGAATTAAAAAAACCATATCTTTATTTACATTACTTGAAATTACAAACTTGTGTATACTGCATTCTTTACTGCACACATGCTTAGCAACCAACCAAACAAGTCAGCAGCAAACATACAGCTGCCACCAAGAGAGGAAAGAGATGGAAAGAAAGAGAGGAACAGAACACTCTCCAGAGAGATGGAACTCTCTTTGAATTCAAAAGCTGGGATGAATGATTGGTTAGTGCTGGATAGATAATTGACCCAGCCCAGAAAAGTGTTACTGAGTTTTGAATTTTTGGTTAAATTCCTCTAACTGTGCAGCAGAAGGGCAGGGAGTCACAGGGTTGAATAGCTTCAAATTCCCTAGATTAGTACACCCCTTTTCTCATTAACTGGCACTTAACAATCTAAACAACACACTCAGAGGCATTTGTAAGAGAAAGAATAAAACTTGTTTCATTTCCTTTTCAAGAGCAAATTGACAAACATGACAGCTTTCAGCAACAGACTCTAGAGAGGAAAAAAGACACAGCAGAGAAGCCAGACTCTCTTTAAATTCAGAAGCGGGGAAGGAACAATTGGCTAGCGCTGAACAGATTGACAGTCACCCCAGTCCAGAAGTATCCCTCCGAGCCAAACAAACTGCAGGCAGCCTGTGAGGTGGCAAATACAACCCCAGCCGTTAAGAATCATGAGATATTAGAAGAGAAAGAAAGAGACACAAATGAAAAGTTCATATATACTTTTCACTGAGTGAGTCTCCTGGTTACCCTGAGCTTTTCCAGATTCTTCTGAAAAAGACTCCCATCTGCACAGATAAAAGGTTGGTGCTGGTCAGTTTTGAGTAGGATGTGACTTAGTCTAAAGTAGCTTGCTGTGCAGAGGATGTTTTCTGTTCACACATCATTGTTTGTTTTCAAGATACTGCGGTTGCTCTTGTCAGTTTGCTGTTTTATTTGATTTCATGAAGACCGAGGATATGGCATAACTGTTCTGAGATAAGGTATGCTTGACTAGCCATGGATCATAAGCAGTTGTAGTAGAGAAGAAAAAGATCACACTGGAAGAATGATTTTCAATACACATCAAGAGAGCATCACCCTAGATGCACACAATGAGCGGGAGACCAAATCATTCTGCCATGATACGAATCTGAAATTCACTCTCTTCTCTCCTTCTCTTAAAGTTAAAATTCAAGGGGGCAAATAGCAGAGTGCTCTAATCCCAAAACAATCTGCCAGTCCTTCTCCAGCCCTCTTGTATGCAAGGTGTATCATCTTGGAAAGGTTGGAAACAGAACTGTAAGATGATATCTCTGTGCTTTAATATTAGGAAGGCCAAGCCGTTTTGAACAAAACAAAACAAAAGGGGAGGGGGAGCCACGGGGCCCTTGCACACACAACCCAAAGGCAAGGGTGGGTGACACCTTTATTAGATCACTACAAATATCACAAACATACGCTTTTGGGCCTGTGCAAGTCTTCCAGTTTTGACTGTGCCATTCCATCCTCTGATCATGAAGACCCTGTAAGAGCTAAGAATTATTTTAAGAAACAGTACCAGAATTTGAAGTCGTATTTATAGCAGGTCCTCTCCTTATTTACCTCAAACGCAGCACTTGTTGCAAAATCACAAATGTAGGTATATACACACCTACATTTATAATTTTGCAACAAGTGCTACGTTTGAGATAAATAAGAAGAGAACCTGTTGTAAATAGTAGTATGACCATTGCTATTAACCTCCACACATTCTAATGTATGTCCTGGTGCAAAGTTTGTTAGTAGTGACTGCATTTTAAAGAAGTTTTATCTGATGCAAGACAATAGCTATGAAAAATAAATGCCTGTTCAGCCTGCTTTTCAGATTCCTGGACAAATACGAGGCCATATTTTTCCCCATTTTCTGTTTCTTTATCTTTAAATGGAACTTAGACAGGTCTAGACTCTACTTGACTATGCCTTCAAATAGATTATTGTCTCCTGAAGGGTAAGGGAAATGGCTGTCCTATTACATGATTAAATAGATCAGTATTATAAACAATTACATTAAATGCAAAGATACCATGACACCTTTGTTTTATATTTAATCTGCAATCTCCTGTATGCCTTGACAGCAGTCAGTTGTCAGGAACCACAGTTAGATTCTTGGACTTACATCAGCCTAGGCTCTTGGATCATTAGTCTTCAAAATTTTGTAAAACCTGTGTGCGTAGATGAGTTCTGAATTACTTAAAAGTTTGCCATATTTGTAACTTTTCCACAATCCAATAAAGGTATTTTCTCACACATAGTTTTGTTGTTACTCAAAGATCACACACAATGACTTCTGTATTTTTTTAAATTATTATTGGCAAATGCATGCAATTTAAAAATGCATTTCACATATAAAAAAATGAAGCAGCATGAACAAGAAAGAAGATTCAGGATTTCTTTCTTTTTCAATGAAAAAAACAGTGAAAGAAAAATAATTGAGATCGGATATACTGTAAAATATAGGAAGGGACAGATAAAAGAAAATAAATTTATTGAAATTTGGCAAAATGTCCTGAAATTCCTGTTATCGAAAAATGAAGGCCGTTTACCCAGGGAAGAAGTAATGTTATTTTGGAAGGGTTATGAGACATCATTAGCAAAATTAAAGTGTTGGATAAATAATTAATCTCTACTGGTTCCAGGGATTGGTGCACCTCTGTTCCCTGATTTTTTATTCTTTGTTATTTATCTTTGTTATGTTTAGTTACGTTGTGTATGTATATAACAGAAATATAAAAGAAAAAATGTAAGAAAAACTAAAAGTACAAGAACAAGCTCTCTCTCTCTGTATTCACTTGTTGGTGTGCGCGCATATGAATGTTGCATATGAAATTGGTGCCCAATAAATTGTTAGGAAAAACCTCATTTCTGAGTCTTGATTTGAATGCATTATTTTGTTTGAGCCAAGGGGGATCCAGATAAGAAGCATTTAAAATATTCTTCAAAGTATGTGCAGTCATGCAAAGTAAGGCTTTTCTAAAGAACCACCACCTACATTAGATGTCTGGTGAAACAACCGGTCAGGTTTCCTTCAGCAGTTATTAGCTGGGAGAGATTTGTCCCCTGGTGCCATCTTGTGTTGATACTGCATTCCACCATCTCTTTCTTGTTTTTTTTTTTGGGGGGGGGAACACGTATTTGGTATGTTCTGCTCTTCTCTACCTCTGTGTGTCTGTCAAAATAAGATTTGCAATGATAGTCATCCAAAGGTGAAGCAAATGGTGAAAAAGCAACACAAAATGCAAATATGGGGCACAACACAGCTGCAGAACACATAAGCGTATGGTTGGTTGAATTCAACAACAGCTTCATGCAGTGAGAGATTTTTGATTCGCTGAAGTTTTTCACCTCACTGATTATGGGAGGAGGCCACCTTTGGTGATTTCTCCCAGCCTCTGCAGTCTATGTCACCCAAAAATCTGCTCAGGATATGAAAAAAATTCCCACTAACTTTTGGTCAGAACATCCTGACCAGAATTTGGGCAGGAGAAATGAAATGCAACATTCAGTCCATAAGGCAGTCATTCCCACTCTGACATTTTCCAGATGTTCTGGGCTACAACTCGTATCTGCGTCAGCTACCATGGCCCATTGCTGAGGCTAATAGGAATGGTAGTTCAGAAGATCCGTAGGGGCCCATGTCGAGGGACGTTTGCCACACTATATAAAATTACATGAGGCTAATATATCTTAGATGGACAGGCAAAATGGTGTGTCTGCATTGGTATTCAAGGTCTACCTATTAGTCAAACCACAATGTTTTTGCTTTCTTTATTTTTTATTTCATTCGTTTTGTTTTGTTTTGTTTTTGCCTGGGATGCTAGAACAAACTAACACGGCTACCTCTGCTGAGAAAGACTCATCTCCTTGGCAGCGCTGTGTAAATATATGTAACAATATACAAGGTGGCCTGAAGTAAAAGGACTGTGTGGAGAAAAATTTCTTAAAATCAAAATTAAGTTCAAGTGACTGTACATTGAGTCACCAGCTCTGACACTGGATGCCATAATCCCAACGAAGCTGTGGGGATTGGCAGGGACAGATAAGAGACACAAGTGGAGAAATCGATAGATGAGAATGCGTATACCTATAAAAACAAAATGGAGGCCCAAAAGAAAATGTGCCACATCACAGCTTCTAACATTTACTTTGAGTAGCAAATAATGAAATTAAAACTTTCAGGAGAGGGAAGCCTTCTTTTCACATCAGGCCTCAGGCAGTACTCCAGTGAAAACTTTGGAACTATGAGTCTCATTAATGGGACTTGAGAATGCTTAATAGCGGTCTAATGACACAGCTGGGGGTGGCTTAATTTCAATCAAGAGGATTTAAACATTATTCACATTTTTTAATAAAAGCAATCTCAGCGATTGCTTTATATCAAGTTGCCCATGTTGTAAGTTGCTTGCATCACATTCTGGTGTTGCATTTTGTCAAGCATGTGTATTAACTGGGTACTAATTAGAACAGATTTGTTTATAACTAAGTATAGCATTTACACTGCTTGGGAACATAACTGAAAAATTTCCACCAGGTAACTTAGCATGTATACAGAATTAGACACAGGAAATTAATGGATCGATTTTTTGCTTTCTCTCTCCACAGGATGCTAAAAGAAATGCTTTCAAATAGATGAATGCCTGCACGTAGTCACCAAGATTATACAAACAGATCTCTTTTAGAACAGTTGGACTCTCACTGATTGGTTGAATGAAGTCCCTTATCCTCTCTTTTTTCCTAAACAGCCGACTGGCAGAAATTTGGAAATTTCCAAAGGGCAAATAATCCCTCCTTATTGTCCTGGAGAACGGGCATGGTTAGCCCTGGCTACCGGGCTGTTTCCAGGTTGCTACTTGGTAAATTGTGTATGAGAACACAATGCATGGGGAAACCTAAAAGGGACCCTTGGGCCTGGAACATTCTAGAAGCCGGAGCTCATTGTTCCTGATATGTCATGGATATCATTTCAAAAGAGGATATGGGGAGATTATAATGTATCTGTGTCAAGTTTAGAGTTCTGTTTTAAAAGAGATTTATTTCGGAAAAAAGATTGAATGCAAATTGAAAAGTGCAATTTGTAAAAACAAAATACAGTTTTCAAAATACCTTTTTTTAAGACACATTTTTGCCTCATATGTTTTAGACGTAAAAATGCAAGCCTCTGTTGCACTTCAGAATTACAGCGCCATCTTCTGGGGCAACACATTTTCGGTACAGATGGTTGAGGAGAGATGTTGTTTCATGCTGGCCAACATGTCTGCTGAATGTATGGACTGCAGGATAGCTCAGTGGTTTAGGTATCTGGCCAGAGGTTGGGAGTCTGATTCGTCACTGTGCCTCTTTGACAGGGGCTGGACTTCATGATCCATAGGATCCCTTCCAGCTCTGCAGTTCTAAGAATAAGTCACTTACCATGACTTACGTATGATGCTCATTCTGGTCATTTGCTTGCGCTGGTGCTTTTACCACCTTGTCTTGTTTTAGAGTCTTTCCCGTAAACTCCACTCTACAGTGGCTCTGTTTCGCCACGGTAATCCCAGGAAGCAGTAAAGGGCAACAAGCCTCTGAACTCTGAAAAAAAATGGCAAATTGGGAGTCACAGATCCAGGCTTGGAGATTTATCAGCGTTGCACCGCAGACTAGTGTTCATAAAGAGTTTTAAACACAGACTCAGAAGGAGAGGGGATGAGAGCTTAGGCTTAACCTGCAGGGAGACCTGAAGCATCTCACAAGGTGGAGTCCACCCAGGAGAAATAGGGAACCGCAGTGAAAAGACGAAGAGAGGTCAGGTCTAATGAGCCCTTTATGAGAAAGAGAAGACCAAAAGCCTCCAAATAAAAGAGTGGCTGAGAAAAGCAGGGCTAAAGTGGATCAGCCGTGGTGTCACCAGGCTGATCCAGAGTTCACCAACCATCAAATTGCTATACACAACCGGGGTGTGGGGGGGAAGTGTTTGCAAGCAGAGGCTCCTCCAAAGTTCTTGAGCTCATATTTGTCCTGAGGAATCAAGAGAAGGACAGATAGATGGACTGATCCATCTGCCAACCAGGAAGTCAATGCTCCATTTTTTGAATGTAGTAAGAATGTTACTCTTTGAAGTGATGCCTCCTTGATGTATTTTGCAAGGTACCATCCATGTATTCTTCGCACCCAAGAGAAGAGGAAAAGGAAGGACAGGAAGAAAAAAATATATATATTTAGAATGTATAGTTCCCAGCCAGCAAGATACTATACTGAAATATGTAACTTTTCCAAACTCTGTGAAAATGCAATTAGGCAGTGCACAGACATTTCTGAGGAAAAGTTGGGACAATTTCCCTTTAGTGCTACTACAGTGGTAGCTTTCTTTAGCACAGTTTTCAACATGCGATGGCTATACAAGCACAACAGGAGAGATGCAGAGCCACACTGAAAATCTGGTAGGAGACAGACAATACTCCCATTCACTCCCAACCTTAAGACACCTGTTCGTGCAGTGGAATTAATTAGACTTTGCTCAGAAGCATCTTCTAGAGTAGGGGTGGAGAGGTTCTCACCCTACAAATGTTTTGCATTTGAAGTTCTAGCCATAATGAGGGATTATGGAAGTTGTAGTCCAATCACCTCTAGAGGCAAGAGAGTCTGCAGGATGTTTTTCCAGGGGAGGGCAAAGCTGCATAGTGATATGTTAGCATGATTTGAATACAGAGCATGCCCCTGCACAATGCTGTGAGTCTCCCTGTATACATGAATATAATAAATGAATATCGGATTCTTCAGTGGAGAACTATGTGTGGAGTGGCAAAGACAGAGCAGTTTTCTTTTCGAACAGTGGTTCTTAACCTTTGTTACTCGGATGTTTTTAAACTGCAACTCCCAGAAACCTCAGCCAGCACAGTTGGTGGTGAAGGCTTCTGGGAGTTGCAGTCCAAAACTCCTGAGTAATCCAAGGTTAAGAACCAGTGTTTTAGAACACACGGTTTGATTTCCGTTAGGGACTATAGAAAGGGAGGAAAAACTGAAAGTCGATTGTTAAAGTAATTACTAAGTTGCAGTTCCAAAGCAGTCATTTACCATCAAAATTATAATTTAGAAAGTAATGTTATAATATGTTCTCAAACGGTGTTCTCCCTCACCAGGTTATAATTTTTTTGCAGATTTTGCCACTGTTTGAACCAAAACCAGCAGCACAGTGTGTGGGCAGTGGGGAAAATTACTGCTCTTCTTAGCAAGGTAGTTTTATTGAGAACGAATGCTCCCTCTGTTTTGTGAAGAAGAGTGTAGAGTGACCAACATCACATTCAGATTTATGATATATGAGGGTCAAGCTAGTTCAGAATTCCCTGTCCTTTGTGTGGTTGCTGGAAAATGGAGTGAGCCGGGCCAATCTTAAGTCTACTGAGAAAAACTAAAAAGGAAAAGGGTGACAGGGGAAGCAGAGAACATAACGCTGTTGTACTCTAAATACTAACCAATCAAAATCCACTTCCTCGGACACAGCGAACCACAACCTTTGTCCTTCACTTTCCCCCTCTTTTTTCATTGCCCCTTTTTAATTTTCTCCACATGCTGAGACAGACTTAACATGGCTGCCTCTTGGAAGAGTATTAAGCCCCTGAAAACTCACAAAGTTGTCCAGTATCTAAGAAGAGAGGGAGGACTTCAAGGCTTAAGGGAATGAAGAGCAGCACCTTATTGCCGCCGAAGGCAAAGGGCACCCTGTCGCACCCTCTCCACTGTGAAGCATGAGTGTACACCCCCTATGAAAAATGAGGAGAATGTGACCCCTTTCATTTTTGAAAGTATCACTTTTCTCTCTCTTTTGAGGGGGGGGGCGGTATTAGAAAGGGAATGGAATGAGAGGTATTGCCATTTGTTTTCCGAATACCCACCAGGAGATTCAATTCTAGAGCTTGCGGCCTTCTAAATGTTGCCCCCCCACCTCCCCAGGAAAAGCTTCAGTTGCTCCATCCTGGATACAGCCATGAAGCACCAGCCCAGTCAAGCCCAGACAGCCTGGCTGTCCTCACATTCTGCTCCAGCTCTCCTTGCCTCACAATGGCATGAATTCCTGCCTGCTGGTGTTGACTGGTCCTGCTCCAGTCTGTACAGACTTGATTTACAGCTTGACTATTGACTCCTGCCTCTGCCTCAGCTCTTGCCTGCTCCTTGAGACTCCACTCTGACTAACTGATATTCGATCCAGACTGACTGATGTGGGCGCCCTCTTCCTTTTGCTGCCTGAGACGAATGGCGGGAGGCAGGCACTTCTGCTCCTCATGCCTTCCAGCGTTTGTCACCATCAGAAGAGAGGGATTCAAGGCTAAAGGAAGACTTGCTGACTCACTCTGTCCAATGGTAGAACCCTGAGGGGAAGAATGGTAGAGAGGAAGAAGCAGGGGGAAGGCAAAGAGGGAGAGAGATAAACGAAGAACACCCTTGGAGGTCCAGCTATTAACGTCAATGAACCAATGCCCAACAACAACAGAACATCACGGTCAAAAACAAATCCATTCCCAAGGCACACACAATATTTTCCACATTTGTCACTGGTATTATGAAAGCACCCTTCACCTTCCCTATCAGGGCACTGAACAAAGCACAGCCCACACATGGATATGGAAAGCTTCTCTGCCTCATCCTGATATAAGCGGAAGACGGTTGCCTGTTTGTGGCAGGTTACAATATTTAGACACCTCGGCACCTCTGACTTGGTGGACTTATTTTTGATAAGTGGCACTTTAAAGTGTTAGTCTGAAGCATAAGTAGCTAATGCAAATATGTTACCGACCCCTACCAGAGTCAGCAATTATGCAAATATCCCAAGCCTTCATCTTTTATAATTAGATGTAGCTAGCTGATAGAGAACTCTAATTTTCAAGCTCACTCCTTGTCAAAATGTTCCACCAAAAAGAGAGAGAGAGAGTCTCTGTGTGTGTGTGTGTGTGAGAGAGAGAGGAATATGTTTGAAATTATATAAATGATGTATTCTCTAAAGAGGCTTACGGGATGGTCTGTATTTAAAAAGAATAATGCTAGGAGGCTTTTAGCAATTATTTTCTTGTTTGTCATGCTTGAGAGATGTATGGAAAGCGTGGCGACGTTGAGAATTACATTCGTAATAAGGGTCCTGCCAAATTCATCTCTAGTGTATGAAATGCTAATTAATATCACACACGCACACACCCCGAACAAGACCCCAAAGATATGTTTTGTTAGCTTGGCAAAGGAAGGCAGAGGAAGAGGATGGTTCTATAAACATAAAACAAAAGATCCCTCCAGCACACACGCATGCACGCACGCATGCACACACATGTGTCACCCTTGTGAAAATCCTGACTTTCAATGTATGAGTAACTTTGTTATTATCAGTGGGATGAAATACATACAGATATTGTATGTCAATGCTCAGGAGACACAGCAGGGCTTTTAGGATGATTTCAGAAAAGGTTGTATCATCATTTTCCTTTGTATTACATAAAACTGCAGCCTGTGTCCCAGATTCCCCCACATTCCTTTTCCCACTTACAGTATATCTCTTGGAGAGATTCTACCAGGTGCTTCAATGGGGAAAAATATGCCTTGGTTTCTGAATTGAATCCATGACCAACCCCAAGTCACTTGGTGAGCTTTTTGAATGAGTAAAGATTTTTGCACCCTCCTTTCTGGATCTACATCCAACATTGGAACTATTAAAGATCAGTAAGACAACTATTAGACCAGGACTCTTGTGGCTTGAAGATCAGATCAAATGAAGTGATTTCTCGCCTCCCAGCTGGTTGGCTTCCTGATTTGAAAATTCAAGGCCAGGTAAATGGCAATTTTAAATCGGCATGTATTTAAATAAAGTATGCAAATGAGAAAGCTTTTC